ATGCCCAGGAAAGCCCAGTGTGACAGTTTGTATGTGGAGCCTTCATGCAGAATTGCTGTGCTACAGCCTTGTAGTAGATAGGGTCAGGCGCTCGGAAAATCTCGCGATGTCACGGAAAGCAGCAGGGTTCTTCTCTCCCTAACTTCTAGTGATAAGGGATCACCCAAGAATGTAGTTCCCCTTAACATTAGTAACTTTTACTCTTTGCTAACTAATTACAGTAAGGTAAGACTCCCTGACGTAGAGAAAAAACTTGCAGAGTATAAAACCCGACGAGACAGGACAATAAAGGTCTTGAACCGTCCACCATACTGGTGCCTGCGTGTGTTCTTAGCCCGAGTGACCCTAGAGAGTTTGAGTTGCCGTGCCGTTTCCTCAGAACCAAGTCGCCTCGCCTTGCATCCGAAGGCGACACAGCCTCCAGCTTGCTCCTGAAGGGAGCCACAGGATGTACAGCCTTTAATGCTGAATGTTCAACCCTGGTGAAAATCTCAGAATGCCATTAGTGTGCTGTCCCCTATCACTTGTTTCTGCTCAGCCACTGCCCATGGTTTAGATTGCATCTAATGCCAGCAGACAAGCAGGACGTGTCCGTGTGCCATCAGAGTCATCAGCCACGTTTGTGATCAACGTCACCCCAGCAGGCACCCACGTCAGGGAAAGCAGGTCCTGGTGAGCTCTTTTTAGAAGGCCTGGCATCATTCCCCAAACTGGTTCTCCATGAATAGACTTGGGTGTCTGCCAGGGGCCTCACTTGCACACAGCCAGATGCAGTGGGGTCTGCATATCACCCCTCCAAGCAGGACCCTTCTATTCCCACAGCTCAGTCCCACTACCTGTTCATTTTACTTTTAATTTACATTCTTCCCACCCCCCCCCCATATTCTCTTTTATTCATTCTTGCATCACCCTTTTTCCTCTGTCCTCACATCAGCCACTCTCTGCATTACAAAAGTTCCCTACATTTTTAGCTATGAGCAAAAAGCATTAAAAATGCAATATTTGGACAACATAAAATCCTAATAATCCTGTTTCTACATGCTTTGACTTCTGCCTCTGCTGGAGGCATCACTTGTCCTGCCTACAGCTGAACCAAGAATAAGTGTGGGGGAAATACACTGCATGTTCTAGTATTTGTAAATTATTAGACTTCTGAGGTTATGTAATAATTTTATCTCCTTTTTTTTAATTTTCTTAGCAATCAGTGATACCAGAAATGCAGAGAGCAAGAGTCTGATATTATGTACTAGCTAAATCTTCCTGTAAGAACTTAATAGCCTTCCAGTGTATAAAGCTTCAGCACAAGAAAACAGGGGTCATGAAAGCAGGACCTCAGTGGAGACTCACAAGTTGCTGTAATATGCTGTGTAAATACTTAATATGTGTATGTTTCATTTTGTCAGTCCTGTAAATTACCTTTTTATCTGGTGATTCAATTCTCTTATCATCCCCAGCTTGTTTACTGAATTTTAAGTCTTGGGCAAGATGAAGCAAGCTCATGAGGAGTTGCTGGTTTTCAAAAGATACAAGCTCCAGATAACTGAGGACAAGTAAGGCACACAACAATATTGAAATCACTCAGAGTTTTATTGCAGCTGACTGAGACAGAGTGTGCTTTGAGGCTGGGAAATTTCCATTACTGAACTGCAGGACAGTGCCTGAATACTGCTACTACTGCAGTTGAAAAATAAAGGCAACTTAATTTTATATAGACAGCAACAAAATGTCAGTATATTAATTAAAATAGCTAGATTTATATGGTAAGCTTTTAAGGTTGCTGTAAACTGGATCCCTTTAAAAATATTTAGAGTATGATTGTAAACTACTTGTTTAAAACTAAGGAACATAAAAATGACTTGAAATTGCAACTGTGTTTTCAAACCATATTTGTGAACAGCAAAACCAACCAGAACATGATGGATAATACAAGACATCTCCTACAACAGTGACAGGTTCTGACAGTGACAGAATGATACCCAGTGCAGGATCAAGGCTGTTACTGTCAGAATCATTCTGCAATTAATAATCTTTTGTGCTCCCCTTGGCATGCACAGAACAACCACAGCAATCTGTTTTCTCATCTTAACTCCATGGTGTCTAAGCCACAGTGAGCTCCATGCAAAGTCCATCGGAATGTGGAAAAAAGGAAATACTGGGGGGAAAAGTAAATTTGTTCTGGCACCAAGTGCCCAGCCATTTGGGTGAGAGATTGTTTTTAACCTCCCAGCAGTGCAAGCTTACAGCAAGAGCCTCGTTTTTATTAAGGTCACTTTATGCTGCCAAGGCAGTGGTCAACATTCACATGAAGATCAGTCTCAAGGGATTTCTGATGTGTGCCACCTGTTCAGTCAAGCCCAGGTAGGTACTGACTACAAGTTATTACCAGCTGACGCTCTTCCTGAATCTTAGGATAGTTCCCTGTGGATCAGAGCTCATATTTAAGCAATTTCAGGAACCATCACCATGGTTCCTGAGTGCCTTACAAGTTAAAATATATCTTTATAAAACATTTTAACATGTCTTATTTCTCTCTCTCGTCACCCCCGCACAAAGGCTTGAGGTCTTTTGAAACAATTCTGGTAAAACTGTTTGTACCTAATGCCTGTGCTTTGTTGGGATGATGGGAGCTTCAGGTTCATGCTGACATCCTGGTACAGCAGCTACCAGGAAAGCCATGGCTGCAATGTCCCACGCAAATCACACAACCAGTATAATTATGATGATTTTAGGAGATGTGGCTTCAGTTTTAAATTAGCACAAAGATCTGAGATGCCTCCCACCCCCACTATGGAGGGGCACCATAGGGCAGCTCCATGGTGTTTGTCCTTGGCCTGACCCGGCACTGCTGATCCCAGGGCCCTTGTGGTACAATGTTCCCTTTTTCAAGAGACCAATTTACAGAACAAGAATTAACAGTTAAAGCAGAAATGAGCAACAGTGCAGGGAATTTCTAGATCCTGATTGTAGGATGAACTCATTCATGTGACTCCTGAACTTGACTGAAGATGGAGACAGTCCAAACCATGACGTATTTACACTGACTTAGCTTATGGCTTAGCTTTTCCTTAATATTCCTGTTTCTGCTTACACAAACTCTTCTCAGCACTGCTTTGATTTGGTTGAAATAAAAAGGTTTTTTCCTTCTGCTTCTTATTACTTGGTATAATTTTTAGTATCACCTCTTCTCCCCCAACACAGCCCTTTATTTTGATCATGGAACTCATAATTTTCTCAAAACACATTTATGTGCTTTCCAGAATTGAGCCTTAAATGTCACCTTGTTAAGGCAAAAGACCCAACATTAAGTGCAGGTAATGGCAGTGTGTTTAAGTAAGCTGAAAACTGATTGATACCACTCCCATCTGCTCTGCCTATCTCAGCAACTGCAGAGCTTCACTGAAATACTGCACTGAGTTCTGCCACGGGAGGAGTTGTTGGGAGAGCATGCCACAGCCTCTGACCACTTATTTGGGCTTAATTGGATTAGACATATATTTGAACACAGTGCTCAAAGGAGCTGACAGTCCTTCCACAATTTCCTGGCCTGCCTGGTCGGTTTCCTTTTTGATCAGACGCATCCCAGTGAAGGTAGAAAATAATCTAAATACACACCAATTTTTAATTAAATTTGATATGACAGGCTGTGTTTAAGCTACATTCTCCATAATAATTTGTTTTGCATTTGCTGATGACAGATTTATTTATGTATGTAATCAGAACTGTAAGCAAATTTTCATTTAGGGAACCTTTAAAATAATACTTTACTTGGCTTTAGAAAATTTAAATGCTCACATTTACTGCTGACTGAAATTTCTGAGAATAATGCTGTGTTTCTGAAGTGCAGAACACATCGTGAAATAAAAACCATTATACACACATAAAAATTAATACATCAGAAGCCTTATCCCACTCAAATACCCTAAAGCATGAGCTGTAGAGTTGAATGCCTGTTAAATAGAGGGGAGTTTGTTAGATTTTGGTGCTCATCCCTGACAGCTTTCGCTCCATCACCTGGGCTGGGTGGCACTCGGAGCCTTGGGGACACCTGGGGGTGCAGCCAGAGCCGGGACTGCCCTCCCCAGCCTGGGCAAAGCTGGGAGGGAGCCGGGGAGGGAGCGAGGGGAACGGGGGGATCGCAGCGCTGGAAGCGGCTCCGGGACACTGAGAGGGCTCGGCCGTGGCAGAGGAAGCAGGAATGGCCAGAAGAAGGTGGGATGCCAGAAATGACCTCGGGGAGAAGCAAGACATTGTCAGGGACGTGGCTGGGGACAGATGAGAAGCAGCAGAGACAGTGGCAGTGAAAATGTCAGCAGTAACCAGGGGTTAGCAATTGTTGTCAGGGTCATTAGAGAACTGCAGGAAAAAAGGCAGAAGTGGAGTTAAGATCCTTGTGCAGAGACTCCTGCAAACAAGGAGAAGCTATTTTAGGAAAACTCTGCCTCGCAGAGAAACAGAGGAGGTACGGCATTGTCGCAAGCAGCGCTCAAACCGTGACAAACCAGCTGAGATTTCACCTCCCCTACAAAGTTTATTTACATTTACACGCGAAGCAGCAAACAGGAAACCTTAATTACATGTAAAAGCAACATCCTAAAAAGAGTTTGCAAAGCTGTGCGCTGAAGCCGGGGAGTGTCACAGATGAACTCGCCCTTATCGCGGTGCCCGAGCCCTGGGACCGGCGGGGCACTGAGGGCGCTGGGGCCGGGCCCGGCTCCATTTCCCGCCCGTCACCTGACGCCTCTAATGGCGCCGCGCGGCCACGTGACCCGCCGCGCGCCCCACGTGACCCACGGCCGCCGCGCCCCCTCCCCAGCGGCTGCGGTTACCGCAGTCCCCGGCCCCGCCCCTGGCCCCGCCCCCTGCCGCGCGCGGCCCCGCCCCGCGCCGCTCCCTGCGCGCGCGCCCTCGCCCCCCCCGCTTCCCCCCCTCCAGCTCCCGGGCCGGGCGGTGCGCGCGCGCGCGGCCGGCGGCGCCTCCTCAGAGCGGCCGCGGCGGGTTCGGCGCTGACGGGGTCGACGGGCCGAGACCGGCGGAGCGGCCGGAGCGGGCGGCGCCTCTTCCTCCCTCCTCCTTCTCCTCTCTCCTCCCTCCCGCATCCTCCTCCTCGCCCCCCTCCTCGCCCACCTCCGCCCCCCCGCACGCAGGCACCGCGGTTCCCGGCACGGACAACATGGCGGCGGTGTCGGGGGCAGGGGCTGCGGGCGGCTCCGTCAGCGCCGGCGGCCCGGAGATGGTGCGGGGACAAGTGTTCGACGTGGGGCCGCGCTACACCAACCTCTCCTACATCGGCGAGGGGGCCTACGGCATGGTGTGGTGAGTGCGGCCGCCGGGGCAGCGCCCTTGCCCCGGACAACTCCCTCCTCCCTTCCCTCCCTCCTTCCCGCCGCCCTGCCCGGCCGCGGGCCCGGCCCGCCCTTGCCCTCGGGGAGGGGGAGCAGCTCCGTCTCGCTCTCCTCAGCTCTGCCTCCCCCTCCGTGTTCCCGGGGTTGTCTCTCCGGCATCACCCTTCTTTCCTGTCCCTCCCTGCACCCCCCATCCCTCCGTCGGTGGGTGCAGCTGAGCGTCTCGTTTCGTTTCGTTCCTGCATTTATTTTCTTTAAATCTTTTGCCTGTGGAGTTGGTCGCGCTCGTTATTTCCTCCGTCTCCGTAGTGCGATTGCAGACGTTCAGGAAGGGGGGAAGGTGGTAAATGCTGCTGGCAGCCCCGCGTCCCTTCCGTGCCCTGCGAGGGCTCACCTGGCTGCAGCAGCCCGAGGTCGTGGGGGATAAAAAAGGTGAATGTGAGCGCAGGAGTTGCTGCCGCTGCCTGACTTTGCTCAGGACGTGCTGGCTGTGCTGCAGAGCTGGCCGGGGTAGTGCCTGCGTTAACGTGTGCAGGTGAAAGTTCTCTTCAGCTGTCCTAGCTCTAAATTCTGTTGTATTATAAAGACTTAGTCCGAGACTCGCTGAAAAGCGATCGTGTATGTTTGCTGTGGGTAACATCGGTCTTACAGAGCGCCGTGAACGAGCTACAAAAACCGTGAACTAACTGGATTAAGAGTGTGAGATGGATTTTTTTAGCAGTCTCAGTGAGCTGGGTGATGCTGTGTGATCTGTGTATCTAATGACTGGGTTATTAACCTGGCTCAGTGGCCTTACTTAAGATTTCATATTCTGTCTTCCATTAGTTAAAAAAACCCTGTAGTGCTTAAGGGATGCAGATGAAAAACTCTTTTTTGTTGCGGTTTTATCAACTTTCTTGCAACACTGCCTCTGTTTCTTCAGTATGGTTTTTGACCAGAAGTACTGAAAGCGACTTACAGGCTGTGACTTCATGACAGCTTTAGCAGCATTAATTTCTCTCTCTGATGAGGAATCTTTTGTAAAGCAGTGCATTTCTCAGTGAGGACACCTCACAGCCTTCAGCTGTGCGCTACAGATTTTTATAGCTGTAGGTTTTTGCACATAGTCAGTGAATTGTGCTGGCCTGTCAGGATGAAGTCATTGTGTGTTTCAGGGAGGGAGCTTTCATCTAGGCCTGAGTTTAGCTGGGAGATGAGCCTCTCTCTCAGTTTTGTGTTGTGGCCTTCACTTTTTTTTTGCTGTGAGAAGAACCTTCACAATGTAAATCAGAAATCCCGTTTACAGTGTAAAAATATCCTTGTTATTGTTTCAGTGTTAGAAATCACAGCAATATATCTAGTCCAAAACTTGTTGATGTAGCTTCTGGTACAGGCTGTACTTTATTATGGTTATTTTATCATCTGAACCAGGGTAGGGAAATGAGTGCAGATAATCTCAGTAGTGGCTGCACTGGCTCGCACTCAAGAGTCAGGTTTTTGAAGGTCCTGGGGAATAGCATTGCCGAGGTGTGTGCTGGGACCGGCCAGTTCACTTCCAAGGGGTGTTAAACACTGTGTTTCACAAACAAAGGGAAAAGCTAAAATGTTTCACCACAGATCAGGGACTGCCAGAAGCAGCACGATGGCCGTTGATGCCCTTTTTTGGCATCTCTGTGCCAGTGAACAGATTCTGCCCCTCCAATTCATGTGTGGTAAACTTCTACACTGAAACTGTCTCCACTCCAAATCCCAAAGGTTGGTCTTTATTTGAAAACTTCTTTTGATACTTTGTGTCTGCTGTGAATGCAGTACAAAATCACTATCAAAATTTCCAGATTTCCAGTTCACTTGAAATACACACTTGGCACTGTGTTTTCTGCTGTGAAATCATTAACATAAAATGCCACAATATGTATTTTGTGCTCTTGGTTATTGCTCTTGTGCCTTGGGTGTGAAGTGACAGGGAACAAAGTCTGGGTTTATAGCGGGTACTTGATGAGGACAGTGTTGGATGCACTTGCAGCAGTGCCATGGCAGCTGTGCCGTGTGCTGGTGCCTGCAATGAGATGTGATTGCCTCAATCCCAGCCGGGCAGGCTGTGCACTTCACTGCTCTGTGCTCCGTGTTTTGCTCTGGTTGCTGATGCAGTGAGGATCTGCAGAAGCCTCTCCCTCAGGGGGTGGGGTAGAGGGCAAGCTGTGAGTGTGCAGATGGAGATGTTTCCTGCAACTGCAAAATCCATTTAAATTTGTACACTTTAATAAAGGAAAGCAAAGCAGGCCATGATGGTTTTGTTTTAGACCCACAGCTCATGTGGAGCTCCTCGGAGATGATGGTTACTTACAAGTGCACTGTGCATAAGGTGTGACATGGCAAACGAGTGTCTTTTGACTCTTCAAATCCCTCACTCTCTTTCTCGTTTTTATCCTAATTCTTATATTTCTACATTATTGGATTAGGGATTTGAAAACGATAAAATGTTTTTGATTATATGAGTAAAAGGGCAAATGAAGTTTTCTTAGGATAGTGCTGTTATGGTCAGTCTTCCATTTTGATTTTGCAGCAGAGAGAATAATGTTTGAGAAATATTGATCACACCATAAAATACCAGTACAGGAAATAGAGGAAGATGTTGGCTGAAGAGACTGTACGTGAATGTTCTTTCATCTGGATTTGAAAACCCTTAAAGGCATTTGACTATTTTCCTTAGTGCAGTCATTTTTTTACATAATCAGATTTTGAGTAAAAATAAACTCAGCAGAGCAGTGTATTTTCTGCTGTGTTGTGGTTGCACTTTCTCAGCTTGGTAAGCAGAAAAGGCATGTTATCAGGCCAAACCCATCCTAATGTCCTCCAGTTCAACTCTGCCAGAACCCTTCAGCCTGTGACACAGCCTTTTGCCTTCTGTTGCAGAGGGTGACGTGGTAGGGGGTGGATCCCTGTCAGAGCCCCTTTCTAACCCATTTTTGTTTTGGTCATTCTGTGTGTGAAACTAAGGGCTGAGCACAGAGCAAAGTTTGAGCCAAAATCCTCAGCACTTCCTAGGACTGCAGGACATTCTTTGAGCAATTACTTAGTCACACAGTCATGTTTGTTACTCTGACTTAATTTATCCAAATATATGTAAATGTTGTGTTGTCTTCTTCCTCTCTGCTTTCACTTAAGCATTGTTAGTTCTTTTGAGGGGCATTGGGGCAAAGTTCTTTAAGTGACTTTTCCTTTCATTCAGTGATAGGATGTTATCAACATCAGAGTTAGATGGAATGCACTTTTAGACCAGGTCTAAGAGTTTCAGAAACACCTTTCAGACACAACAAATTGGGAAATGTTGTTGGGGTTGTTTCTTTCTCTCCTTATGTAGGCTTGGTTTATTATTGGCAGTAGTATTGTTTTAAAGCAGCCTGTTAACAAGCTGTGCTTCAAACACACTGGAACAGCAATAAAAACATGATAGAGCTGAGCTTTACATTTCCGGCGTGACTTGTTCTTCCTCCAGTTGGTCAGTGGTAATTTGGCAGGGATGATAATTTGATAGTGAAAAACAAATAATCATTTTGGAAAGAAATGATGAATTGAATGTGATAGGGATGTTCTCATTTTTATCCTAGCTTTTGGAAGCTTTTTTTTGTCATCAAGCTTCTATGAATGTGAAGTAATATCAGTGCTGCAAATAACTGCTTATAAATAAGCAGTTGAATGCAGATGAGTGCAGTTGGAAGAAAATAATCTGCCAGCTCAAATTTTGGATTTCTTGCTCTAAATTTGCCATGTTACAAAGAGAGCTTTGTGTTACGGATGTGCTGTGAAAGAGTGATATTAGAAGTTTAGGTAGTCAATAGTTAAATGCTGAAGTAATACTGAAAAGAATACTTAAAACATTTGGCAGTAGATTCTTTAAAGTTACACTTCTCTCTACTGTTTCATGGAACTGCCCTACTTTTAGAGCATCAATAATTCAAATGAAGAGAAGCATATTAATAAAGAAACTAAAAGCAGAAAGAAATCAGGAATAGAACAATCTGCAAGGCATAGATATTGATATTAAAGCATGAAATTTGAATGGAATTGATGGTTGCATAATAGTTGCTTTTGAGTTCCATAAAAAGGTGGGTTTTGCATCCTGTGTGGGGGTCAGCACGGTGCCTGGGGTGGGCTGCTCACATTTGCTCTGTTAACTCTTGCCTTGCTCCAGAGAGACACAGAGCCGGGTCCGTGCCCTGTTTGTGTGCGCTTTAGGGAGCACAGGTTGGGTCTGCGTGTCAATTCCTGCTAATTAACGTGTTCTGTCTGCGTGATAAAGACAGCAGGGAGCTGATACAACTCAGCCAGCCCGCCCCAGTGCAAGGATCAGAGGAGGGAATTAGGGAGTGTAATTGGTGGCTGGTTATCAGCTTCTTCCCTCTGGGGGAAGGCAGATGGAAGCACTTCCCTCCAGTCACTCAAGCTTCTAGCACTTACCTAACCTGCCGTGGGAACCCAGAGGAGAAGCTGGAGCTGCTTTTCCTGCTCTGCCCGGGGATGGACAGACAGCAGCCCCCACAAGCTGAGCAGCAGGGACGGGCAGGAGCCCCTGGCTCGTGTCAGAGCTGCCTTCCAGGTTCATGGAGGATACGAGGCAGAACTTGTGCTGTCAGCCCAGAGCAATGGGATGCTGCCTTAGCTGAAGAGTGCAGCTCGTGGACACTTGCATTTTATGAATAAATACACATTTTTCTAGCACAGCATGATCCATCCCATGGGACAGAGATAACTTATGGGTTTTCTTAGAAGCATGCTTTATTAAGGAAATAAGGCTTGTACGTTCACAGTGTGTGTATGTGGCTGCATCTGCATCTCCCATACCCCTACACAGAATTCTAGTACCTGTTGCCTGCCTTCCATCAAATCTGACAGATGGTAAAAGTCTTAAAGATGGAAAGTTATTCTGCAGGTTTCACAAAAATAGGTATTTTGCTCGAGTGAAGAGATCCTGTGTGCTGCTCCACTGGGGAA